GCGACGTAGGAGTGTCGATTGGAACTATGTCAGTTTAGGAAAGATACAAAATACTGAACCTAAAATATACTAGATTTGAAGAGTAATGAGTGACTGGAGTTTGAAATCAATTGAACTGAGTTTGATCTCTTAATGAATTTTTCTTAATCAATAAATCTCGAATCCCTCGGGATCGTATCTTTTATACCCGATTTAATGACTTTTTGTGATGTCAGCTTGTCGCAATTCTGATGGGAACGAATTTAGGTAGATAGAAAAGGGATGTTAGATTTATGACTTGCATTGAAAAATATGTGTATCGAAAACAATGTTGGTATTCAAACTTGACTTAAGATAAGTGTTTCAATTATTATTACTTGATGACATATCTTTTAGACTATAATTTGATTTGTATTTTGGATAACTAAGAATATGCTCACGTATCTTCAGGTAGTTTATTAGGCCTGAACACATGCTTTTCTCTGCTATCTATAAGAGAAGCTCCGTGTCTCATATTTAGGTGCTTCTGCGATTGCTTAAGTCTTGTTTATGTGACTCCATAAACAGAGAGGAATGCTTTTTTGCAAATTTTCCGCATCACACAATTGCAGCGAATCTGAAATAATACCACGAATTATTTTATATTGCAAGTAATAAATTACCTTGTAAGTAAATGTTGCATTTTTTTTATTTCCATCACCGGAACGTGGTCTAACTGTCTGTACTTGTATCTTGAAAATATTGCCATACAAATATGCATCCTGCAGATTTTTTGATTTCATAGCACAAAAATCACAAAATATTGTTTCACAAGTTTCTTGTCCAGTTTTATCAAAACATTTTAGTTTACAGTGGCAGTTACTACCAATATGTTTTCCAGGTTTATGAATATCTGTAAAGTTCTTAGATCTTCTAGCTTTTCCGTGATTGTCTACGTACAAGCCGCTTTTTTCCTCGTTGTGGAGTGTTTTCAAGAATTCCAGGTATTTGATCACTTCCATCTTCGGATGTAACACACACATCTTCTAACATGATAGGGACAGTTCCAGTGCCTTGAATTCGAAGACGAGCTTGTTAAAATTGGTCTTTTGAGGTTAGGGTTATGTTTTGTTAGCAGAGTATCTTGTACAATGCTGTTTCAAGGAATTAATGGCGGACACAAATGATAGAAATGTGAACTTTATTTAAAAGTAAAGTGACAATCAACTAAATATCAAAATATGACACCCATTATATAAAAATCATTTAAACATACTATGATAAACATAGTATTCTAACAACTCTCCTTTATGTTTATTCTAGATATTCTCTTCTTGTGCACCATGTAGTCCAACACCTGTTGCGCACATGTTTAAACTATGTCTTGATAAACTTTTTGTCAAAAAATCTGCTTAGTTCTCTTTTGAGCTTTTATACTCTAACTTCAATCTTTTCTCTTACCAAGTGATGCCTTATATCCGTGTGTTTAGATCTCTGGGAAATAACTGAATCCTCTGAAAATTTTATTAATCCTTGACTGTCGCAGTAGAGTGTTATACACTTCGGTGAATTTGGAATTATTTCCTTTTGCAGACCTTTCAACCATATGAGTTCCTGAGTTGCACTGCTCAATGCAATATATTCAGCCTCCAATGTAGACAGGAAACTGCTCCACTGGACAACAGACAAATAAAGCGCATAGTGGAATGACGGTCATCTCTATCATTGGCCCAGTTAGAGTCTGAAAAACATGTTAGAGCTCTATCGTCCTTCCTAAATATTAATTTTTTCTACTTGGTCGATTTTAGAGATCTCATGATACAGCTCGCCAATGGGGGTTTCCTGTATTACTGTAATAACGACTCACAACACCTACAGCATGGGCGAGTTTAATTTCTTTTCTTTCTTCATTTTTCGGTGACATATTAGAAGTAAGAACTTGATTACAATCACTGAGTGTGGAAATACCATTAAAATTACTAATTTTAAATCTTTCCAGTATATCAGTTATATATTTTTCTTGGTCAGGGGTAACTGAACCATCTTCCTCCTTTACAATCCTCATTCCCAAACAATAATGTGCCTTACCAAGGTCTTTCATCTTTAATTCCTTCATAAGACTAGCTTTTCGACTGCATGTTAAATCTTCATCGTGTGAGAAAATCAGAGGATCGTCTGCGTAAACAGCAACAATGCACATTCGGTTTTCAGATAGATAATAATATATACAAGGGTCAAATTTTGACTTCTGAAAATTTTGTTTACAAATTGCACTGCTTAGTTTTTCATACCATGATCTACTAGCTTGCTTTAAACCATAAATAGACTTAAGTAGTTATGTTTGTTTATCTTCTTTACCAGAAGACGAAAGTTCCATATAGATCTCTTCTTTGAGTTCTGGATGCAGAAAAGCTGTAACAACATCCATTTGCTGAATGTCTAAATTAAATCCAGCAGCCAGTGCCAAAAGAAATCTTATTGAAGAGTGACGAACAACTGGTGAGAAATTTTCTATATAATCTACTCCATATTCTTGAAAGTAGCTCTTTGCTACTAAACGGACCTAAAACCTTTTTATTTCACCACGTAAGTTGTACTTTATTGCTTTCTGGCCAGGAGGAACTTTGGAAAGCACTTTAGTTTTGTTGAATTGAAGGAAATTAAATTCTTTTGTCATAGCCTCCTTCCACTTTTCAGCATATTCACAGCTCATAGCTTCTGCGAGTATTTTTGGATCTTCCTTATTGCATAAGCCTAGCTTGATTGATGATAAAATCTGAATTAATTTTTTTTTATTTTTAGTTCTGATTCTTTGAGGTCGCTCATCAACTTGAGCTTCCAAGTAATATTATATTTCCTCTTTATCTTTTATTCCTACATCATTGTCTTGAGTATCATTTTTCTCCTCAACTTCTGTTTCCCCTCCTGCAACTGCAATCTCTTGAATTACTGATTGATCTTGAACATTAGGTTGGAGAAAGTCTCTTTCTTCCGTGAACTCATCTAAATTTCCAGAATTTTTAAATGTAGAGTCTGTATTTGGACGGTTTTCAAAGAATACTACGTCACGAGCTTTAACTAGCAATTTATTTTCAGGTTTAATTAAACGGAATCCTTTGCTATCTTCACAATAGCCGACAAAAATACCCTCTTCTAACTTGGAGTTCCCACCTTTTTCTTTAGCAATATAAATCATAGCTCTACAACTAAAAATCCACTCCCTATTTCTTCCAAAGTGCTTTTAAAAATCGCTTTAGTTGGAGATCTAGTTTTTAAAAAAATTGCAGTATTTATTACCTCTGCTCAGTATTAAATTTTCAACACTGAATCAAATAGCATTGATCTTGCCTTTTTGACTAGAGTTTGATTAAAACTCTCTGCTACCCCATTTTGTTCTGGCGTGTATAAAATCGTAGTTTGTTGTTGAGTTCCATTCTGCCTTAAAAATATCTTAAAATCTCTATTTATATATTCTTTACCAGTACGAATAATCTTAATTTACGTATTCATTTTGTTTTTAACTAAGGCTTTGTATTGTTTAAAAAAGTCTGAAGCTTTTACAAAATATACTGTAGAGTATCTACTATAATCATCTATAAACGATCACCTCCAATAGATGTTGTCTTCATGTAACCGCAAAGGTCAGAGTGCACTAACTGTAAAACTTCTTTGGCTTTCTTGCCATCTGTTTTTTTGAAAGGAATTTTTTGTTGTTTTCCTTTCAAACACTCGACACAATTATCAGCATTGGTTTTCAACATGAAATTAACTCTGTTACTAATCCATTTTTCAAAAGATTTATCGAGGTTCTATTCAGATGGCCTAATCAGATATGTGGTGGCCTCTGAATCTAAAAACCAATCGGTACTGGAACTTTTATCTTCTCCTACATCTAGACATCCATAAAATGCTCGTTCGTCTTTCTTTTGTTTAGAATTAAAGGAATGCTTCTTTTTCTGATTTGAGCAATCATGCTTTTTATGATCTAACTCTTTGATTGATTTCTTCTTTTAATTGGTTTTTATTGTGAAAGCATTTTCAGAAGGTTTGGTGTACGTGATTGAAACATTTTCTTAATTTAATAAATTTTCTGATTGGAACTTCTTAGGCAGTCCTCCAAGAATAATATCTCCTACGACTTTATCTTCCAACGGTTTTGCAATACTTTCAAGTTGTTCAGAAATACCGACAATCCTCTTAATATAAGTACTCATTTAGTGAACTGAAAGCCTTTTGCAAATTTAGCCATGCTTCTCTTGCCGTTGTAGTTTTTTTAGTTTCGCACATCACATTTGACTTAATTGATAAATTAACCTTTGCTAGTGCTTTAATATTTAAATCGTTATCAACGGTTGTAACTACTGGATGCTCTATACATCTATACAAACCTGAATCAATCAAAAAAATTTTCATCCAGAATTTCCAATCTGAATAATTTTTTCCATTAAGATGTTTGGACTCTGGTAGACCTCCTACTGATAAAGTATGACTTCACGTTAGTTTTATCAGTTAGTTGTTTCTGCAATGACGCAACCTCCGCCTGCAGCTTCTTAAACTCTTCGATGTTTGCCATTTATAATTAAAAAAATATATAGTTTTTAAAACGTTCAACCTAAATCTGGACCCACAACCTGTTAGCAGAGTATCTTGTGCAATGCTGTTTAAAGGAATTAATGAGAAAAATAATATAAATGTGACAATCAAGTAAATATTAAAATACGACAACCATTATATAAAAAACATTTAAATGTACTATATAACATACTATGATAAACATAATATTCTAACATGTTTGTTATTATCCGGCACATAAACTTGTACTGGAAGATACAGAATTAAAAACTGTACAATAACATGAACCTAACCCATTTTGCCTAAAAATGCATTGGACCCCTCAGTTGGAATAATTACCAAATCCTAACTTACCAAGAAATAATTTAGAGCAGAAATTTCAAACTCTTACCTTCTTGTAATCAATCTAAAATTACTATTTTTATATTATTAAAACAATAAGAAATGTAAAAACAAGTTGTTTTATTTACCTGCTATCAGTAACACCATTCCCAGTTTCATCAACCGTAACCAATTGATTATTAGTAGCAGCAGCCTCCGCATTGAAGTTGTGGCCCAATCCAGCCTCGTTATGGTACGGATCGACATCTTTGAACTCGAAGTCCTCCAACTGATTCTGGTGGTTGTTCAATCCCGTAGAAGCTCCCGAGATGCCGGAGAACGTGGACAATCCTTTGCCGACGATTTTCCCGAGACCGCCGAGGATCGAAGGCAGGAACATCGCAATCACCACGCTCTTGAGCAGTTGGGCACCTATAAAAAATGGCAGCAGGAGTTTCTTCAAGCCGAACGCTAAAAAACCCATGCCGAATCCGGTCAGGAAAGAACTCTTGCCTGAATCATTCTTGTTTGACTCACCTGGAAAGAAAAAAAAACTGTTTTATTAATATGATTTAATAAAAGAGATTGTAAAATGTAATACTAAATATTCCGCTTATAGACCGTCAGATAGTGCCTCATTTCCGCATACAAGCCTCGAAGAAGGATGGAAAGTACATCGATATTGAGTAGAATGAAAGGAAATTTACAAAAGGCTTTTCAGAATAAAAGGAAAAACGAGTAATATTTTTTCTAAACATGTTCCACTGAATCATCTTATTTATAATCAGTCCTATTTTTAATGACACCCTGTAAAATGTGAATAGTTATTAGACCTCGGTTTACACACTTTACAGCATAAGTAATAATCCCAGCCTAGCTGATGTTCCCATCGAGCTATATGTACTACAATCTAATGCTATCTATAACTTTCAACAACATTATATCCGAGAAGACCGAACAAGGAGAAGCGACAGCTTGTTGTTTCCAGTGTACCGTTTTGTAACGCGCATGTGCGATAATAAGTTGTGTATCACTCAAAATGATGTTATCTGTCAAAATCAGTCCAAGTTGGGCTTAGTACGTGAGCAATGTTGTGACAAGTCTCCTGATTCACCTACAGTGCTTCAGCGAGTCTGTGGCGCTATGAATGTAATTCCCGAATAGGGTTTGCTCAGGCGCCAGTTTTGATATCGCAGTTTGCTCTGCGGCCCTGGGGTGCACGTAGAGTACACCCTCAGTAGACTCAGTGGAGTCCAGGTACAAACAAAAAAAAATAAAACGGATAGACCTTCGCTGTTAAGTTGACCTACACTGGGGTAGTAAAGTAAATAAAGTTTTTCACTGCACTTTTACCTATTAATCACTACGCCCTGAAAACGGAAAAAGCAAAGGCGTAATTCAAAATTAAACTCAGGAATTTCAATCAAAAATATATTTACAAAATAAATAATAATTAAAAATAAAATAAATGGGGTGAAATCGGTATATCTATATATCTGTTTAATAACGGTAATAAAATAAATGCAGAATCATGTATGTTGATAAAATAAAAGGTCTCGGTATTTACAGACAATGATAAAACGGTAAAATTAACTATGACCTATACTATACCCATAAGAAAATAAAAATAACAATTTTCCCTTTAAAAAAAAATTAAAACGGTGGGCACTAACACCCTTAGCACAAATTCCTTGCTATTAATGAAAACGGCCGGTTTTAGCCATAAGAAAAAAATCTACAATAGTAAAACTAAATATGATTCAAACTATACGTTTTAAAAATAAAAAAAAATTAATAAGCTACTCTCAGTAATAAAAAAATATCGGAAATCGGCCAACGGTGGTGAACAGTATCACCCTCCACTCATGAGAGAAAAAATGACGGATGCCTTTGTAAGAACGACACCTAATATCCTCCCCGCAATATTATTTTACTAGGCACAATAGACCAAATAACGGGTGTCTTAAAGCGGTATTATTCGACCAATACTTTGAGAATTTTTATTTTATTTATTCGGTTTCAAATTTCTCTTATGTAGACATCTGGGAATCCATAGCTTCTACAACACAGAAACAACTGCGACTCTCGACAGGGATAGCAAGCGAATACCACTATCATCCCTTGGTTAACACGAAAATGGTTGAAGGGCACTAACGCCCCGGATTTAAATACAATTCGTTACCCTAACAGGTACTAAGAAATCAAAAGTATCGGTCGAATAGCTCATGTAATTAATAGTACGGAAGTGAGTGTTACAGGGAGAATTATTAGACGGAATTTTAAATAAAAAGGCCTACCTTAATTAACTTTTCCCAAAAATCGCTTTCGGTAAAACGGCACTTCAGTAAGACAACTTTTACTATCGAACTCACGGTAACAGCAGGAAAAGAGCCCTCCTTCATCGCAAACATTTAGTTTTATCAGAATTCGTACTTTTGCCGGAGTGGGGCGGTAGCCCCACCTAGAGGAAATAAATTGTTATTGCAAAAAAAACGTTAATTGATCAGCTTACTGATAAAATCTACTACTATTGCAATTTTACGAGACGATTTACATTATTGTGATATTGAAAAGTTTTAAACTACGAGGGCCCTTGTATAGATTTAAAAACGGTAATTCTATGGAAACATTAGTTACAGGGGGTCTTGAAAATGTTCATAGACGGAAATTAATTTTAGAAATTAATTTATGGAATAAATTAATGGGAATTTTAGTGACTTCGTCACAATGTTAAGTAATATTTTTTTGTTTTTGTTTTGTGTAGTAATAAGATGAAGATTTTTTTTACACACTTAGATATTCTAATACAGACAGTTATTAGGAGACTAAGAATTTTATCAAATGTATAAATATTAAGTATAATGATTTAGTCATTTTTGAAATTTTATTTTTCATATGTAGGTATTGGATTTTCTGAAATATATGTTTGTCTTCTTTTAAATAGATTTAATAAACAATGAACTGCAAATTTTGTTTATTTTATTTTAAAATTATATTAAAAAAATATAACAAATCCGCGTGTTTTAATTAGGATTAGTCAAAGTGGGTGAAATCCCTTTATTATGGCTAAATTGTAAGTTACAATTATGTTAATATAAAGATGTTTTGGCCTTTCATATTTATATTTATTGAATAAATCACATACTGGAGTTGATTTTGAAAATATTGGTACATACTTAAATAAGTACTATTTCTAAAAATTCGTCTATGCCCAGACAGCACACATAGTCCAATGGACGTACATTTTAGATCCATTCAGGGTCAGGACGTCCGTATCCGTCCATCCAGTGTAAGTCCTTTTATACTAATTAATTTGACAGCTGAATATCAATATCCAGAGAACGTCTGTTTTTGGACTTAATTTTAAGTTTAGTAGTATTTTGACATCCAGTGGACGTCCATCTGAGGTCATTAAAAATTGACAAATTGAATCTATTGCATTTCATTCTATCAGGGGAAGTTTAAAATCTTATTCCATTATAACTATATCTAGTAAAAAGTTTTCAAGTGGTTCCTTGGTCAAGCTCGTCTAGCGATTGAAAGCATAAAACGATAATGGATGTGTCGTGAGTTCGAACTCTGCTCAAGTCAAGCGATCTTTAATTAAAAAAAATAATAAATGGTGTATAGCGGTTTGCGAAAATAATAAACAAATTATTAATAATATACAATAGTGTGTGGTGAGTTACGGTTCTGTAAAAAAGTGGGGATGTGGTCTCAATGGAAATATAATCCAGGACGTTTTTTGAATGTCTAGTATTCGACTTCCAAATATATTCCAGAATTAGACATCTTCTGAATAATCAAAAGTGTGCAATTTTTATACTTCACTGGACGTCCATTGGATGTCGGAAGTCTAAAAAAAACTTATTTTTGGACTTCTAGACATCCAGAATTGTATATCGAATGGACATATTTGTATTGTCTAGCCAGGTATTTAATTCTAAGGTTAATGTTTTTTTTGTGTCAATGACATCAACCGCTACGGTTATTAGCATCGTGTTCTCTGTAGGCTTTGTTACTGTTTCTCGGTGCCATTTTAGGAACAGCACTGTTAATTAGTACCGAACAGTGAATGGTCGGGTAGGATTCCCCACTCGACCATTCACTGTTGGGTACCACATACACCAGGTGACTGCCCAGAGTGATCTAATTTTGATTTGCTAATCATTGTCTCATTGTCCACCTTTCCCGTCTGGCCGGGTACACTCCCTTTACGCACTCCACCAAAACACCAAGTCCCACTGGATTTATATTATATGCACAATACGTAAACATGTTTCTGAGCATGCAACTCCGCGGACTTAGTTGTGCAAAAGTTAGCAATAAGGGTAGGACAATAGCCAGAGCAAGAATACTTTGGATAACATTTTTTAATGTGTATCTCACTATTATAGTTCACAGATTTCTGTAAATTTTCAATTATGTTCTGCTATTTCACACTTTTAGTATTCTTTGATAAAAGAAGCTGAATGTGGCTACCACTTCGGTCAGATTGATTATATTAACGCGGACATGTCATGCTCCTTCCTGACTATATATGTTCTAAGATTTAAATCGATAGATTTTTTTACAAATAAATAATCAAGACAATAAAACTTGTCTTGATTAATATATGAAACAAATCCATTTGTATTTAAGATATTTTTATACAGTTCTACAGAATCTACACCAGCTAAAAAATATATATTTATACATCCAGAAAAAACAGTTTAATCATATTTTTTAAGTATATTCCATGTTACTTCTTACGTAAACGATTGTTCCATTATTTTCATTATATGACCCTTCACTATATATAATCATTTATGGTTTGAGTTTTATGGAAAGATATCGAATTCTTGATTAAATCATTAGTTGAATACATTCCAATTAGTAAAACGAAGTCATTGTTTCTAACATTGATGTTGGCGGGGTTGGTTGTAGTTTAGCTATTGCTTTGTAGCTTAGATTGCTTGCTTGTCCGCTTGTAGGTAACTCTTTCTGAATGCCAATGGAGAAATGCAATCATCGAGTGTCTGCCTCCTCGTGGCACCGCTGGATACGTTAATATTGCTGCTCTATGAACAGCACTATTAACTAACTAAATGGCACTCCATCAGTACCCCAAGCCAAGGTGTAAGGCAACGTGCTGAAGGCTGAATGGCCGCTAAGAAAGCGGTTTCGAATGTTCCTCTGAGGGCACCTGGCGAAACCTTCTTGTATTCAGCCTTGCCGGCGCATGCGGGGCTCTGCGTCGGTCGACTTTTATTTCCCTAGCTATTCGTGGGATTTACATAGGCAGGAAAACTAAATTAAGCAAACCCCGACAGGACTACACCGCCACTAAATCTGATCAAACAGAGCCTGCCATCCGAAGCGATCAACCTCCCTCAACCTCTCAAGTGAGAAAACCTCACAAGAGAGAAGTGGGAGAACAAAAGAAAGAGGTGAAGGGAGAAGAGAAGAGGAGCACCATCGCTCTATCTTCTCCATCCCCCTCGCCACTCATCGGCAAGGGAAACTCCCCTCAAGAAAGAATCCAAACGGAAGCTACC